CTCCTCCCTCACCCACTGCCTCTCAGAAATTAAATCCTGGTTCACGTCAAACTTCCTCAAACTCAACTCCGATAAAACTGAACTCCTCCTGGTTGGTACCAAGTCCACTCTTTCCAAAGCTGACAGTTTCTCCCTTACCATAGACAACTCCACAGTGTCATCCACTGGGTGTCATCTTCGACAGCTCACTATCTTTCCACTGTCACATCAGTAACATCACCCGGTCTGCACACTTCCACCTGCGTAACATCAACCGTCTCCACCCGTCACTCACTCCTCACACCACAGCCATCCTGGTCCGCAGTCTTGTTACGTCCTGTATCGACTACTATAACTCACTCCTCCTCGGTGCCCCTCACAAATCCCTCCATAAACTTCAACTTGTCCAAAACTCTGCAGCCCGTATCATCACCAGAATCCCCTCCTTTCACCACATCACCCCTGTCCTCCAGCAGCTTCACTGGCTTCCTATCAGGTCCAGAATCCACTTTAAAATCCTACTTTACACTTTCAAAGCCATTCATAACCTTGCCCCCCCTTACCTCTCCGATCTCCTCCACATCGCCACCCCCTCACGCTCCCTCAGATCCTCCTCCTCCCTCCACCTCTCTGTGCCCTCTGCCCGGCTCAGCACAATGGGGAGCAGGGCTTCCAGTCGCTCTGCTCCCAAACTCTGGAACTCTCTCCCCCCGGATCTCAGAAACATGGACTCACTACCCCACTTCAAATCAAAACTCAAAACACATCTGTTTCAAATTGCATATTCTCTATAACTATCCACCTTCATATTTCTATGTTGTTTTTACTTATTTTAATTGTGTTTTCTAACTGTGTTTTCAATGCCCTGTACAGTGTCCTTGAGTGTCCAGAAAGGCGCTTTTAAATAAAATGTATTATTATTATTATAAAGTAAATACCGGAGGCTCTGGCGGAATGATGGACGCTTAAAAAGGACGTAGACCGGACAAGAGCTAAGAAGCCAGGTCAACAATGATAGGGGATGTTTCGGGATCTTACCAACCCTGTAACCTTTCTGCTGGACAGGGAAACCGCTTTAACAAAGCCAAGTGTAACAGAAGTATTTCTTGTCAAATGGGACCTGCTGCGTGTTGTAGCGCAGCTAAACTGTTTACCTGGGGTCCTGGAGTATGTCACTTTATCCTAGCCTCTAGTTGTGCCCATATACACACGAATGTACACTCAGATAGTCAGCATGTGAGATGGTCTGATTTATTTACATGCCTTTAAGTAAACCATCCTGCAGCCATCATGCAGCCATGAGTCATTTTGCAAAGGAGCTCCCTCCAGTTCTGCTGCCATCACACGGATTGCAGGACAGGATGATGATCCATTTATTTCCCTAAGCTTGTCAGGCTTTTACCACAAAGTCAACAGGCAGAGCAGAAATGTAACAAAAGAACAACTTGTAATTGATAGTTTTTACTTTTTCTTTGAAATAAGGAAATGAACAGGTTTCTCTGATTAATGCTAACCATCTGACCTCTCTCTCCGAAGCTTGAGTTATATTCTTTTTATTGCAGCTCACTTAAAAATTTGCCTTTGTCTCATTTTAATGAAGCATGTTTTTGCATGATGGTTCACCAGGTCATTCTAGTTTATGTTTCTAGGTTCTCTCTCGGGCATACGGCACCCCCTTCAGATCCCTCGCTCCTCCTGATTCACAGAGGTGTAAGAAAATCTCTTCTTTACATCTCACGTTCAGCCTCCTCCTCTGACTCCCTTTATCCTACGCCGTCATAAAAATGGAACGATGCTCTGCTCTCCTGGAGAAAGGTCTTTCCTGACATGTCTTTGAATTAGGCGAGAAAAGCTCAGCTGTCAGGCAGAATTTCAGTCCTGACCTTTGTCTGCTGCAGGCTGTATCAGACTATTAAAAGACTTTTACTGTATCCTGTAAAGAGAGACATATGAGAGCCCTGCTGGAACATTTTTCTAATTGAAGTAATCATTTTTAAATGTCTCATCCTGCAGCCTGAACATTCAACGGGAGCTGGAAATATTCTTACTGTGGAGCTCAGCGGGGAAGTGTCTCTTATTTCTGAACAAAAATGACATTAATTTTTCTTCATGTCAGCATGTGCAGCATTACAAACCAAGATCTATAGGAGTCAGTAGGCCATGTGAAAGGTTCATCAAAACTGATTTGATGGTTTTCTAATTATTAAAAGCCCATGAGTGATAGAATAACAAAGAATCTTTGAACAGAAAAAAAATCTAAATTTGATACCAACAACACATTTAGATAAGTAGATCCAGGTTCATGTTTATCATTGTGTGTCTGTGTAGACCTTAGTGAACCCAGCAGACCAGGTTCTGGAGTCTGACAGTCAAATGCTGTTCCATTCCTGCCTGATCAAGGATTTTAGCTGTTCAACAGTTCAGGGTCTCCTTTGTTGTGTTTTTGGGGTCATGATGCTCCAAATGTTTTTAATGGGGGACAAGTCAAGACTGCAAACAGACCAGTTTCTCAGCAGAACTCTTCGACTACGGAGCCATGCTGTTGTAATCCATGTTGTCAGAATATGGTTTGTCATGGTCTTATGACAAAATATGAAGGTCTTTCCCAAAAAGTCTTTGTCTGGATGGCAGCAGATGTTGCTCCTAAACCTGTAGATATTGTTCAGCATTAATGGAGCCTTCACAGATGTGGAAGATACCCATGACATGGACTCTGATGATCCCCATACCATCAGGGATGCTGGATTTGGACTGGGAGCTGAGAACAAGCCAGGTGGACCCTATACTCTTTAGAGAGGAGAATATAACATCCATGATTTCCAAAAAGAATGTTGGACCAGATCAATATTCCTTTTCCCCTCAGTCCACCTTAAATCTGCTCAGGTCCAGAGAAGTCTCTGGTGTTTCTGGATCCTCTTTCTATCTTGTTTCCTCTTTGCGTGGTTCAGTTTGAACCTCATTTATGGATGCAGTGAAAATGAGGTTAGGTGGAGTCAGAACATGGGAAAGAGCTCCACTGCTGGAAGAGAAATATGGTATCTGGTGTTTGTCAGTGAAATCTTAGTTCTGAACCTAACAGCTAACAGGTCATCAAACTTGGACCTGGTCAGCAGTAAGGTTTATCTACAGACAGTGAGAGAGTGTCAGAAGAAAACCATGATGTTATTTAAGGCAGAAAAACCCTGTTAGAACAGCCTGGGTTCAGGAACTTCCAGTACCAGACAGGCACAGTAGACTTGGAGAGGGAGTCAGAGAGAGATCTAAGTGAGCAGCAGCAGTTTGTCAGCTCTTCATCCGCCTGCCTTTAATTGCTGAGCAGCAGAGTTTGTGACGAGCTCTCCAGAGGCCAACTCTGAGTTTTCAAATGTAAATGTGAGCTGATCGAGAGTCTCAACAAGCATAACTCTGCCTGGGGGCGTCCTTCTCCTCCTCCTGCTCCTCCTCGGCCTCTGTGGGGTAATTTGGAGCAGACAGAGGCGAGGATGTGCTGCTCATTATGGCTGCCTTGCCCAGCAGCCTCTGTGGACTCAGTGGTCACTGTTCAGCAGTCTGAAACACCCAAAATGCCCGCCGTCCATTTCTTGCCAATCAGATTGTCTCCCCTCTCCATTTCTCTCAATTTCTTGCCAATGAGATCTCTCCCCTCTCCATTTCGTTCCATTTCTTGCCAATCAAATTCTTCCCTGATCTCCATTTCTTGCCAATCAGAGCTTCGGCCCGGAGCTCCATTTCTCACCAATCAAAACGCACCTCCGCTACCATTTTTTTCCAATTACATTTTTTTTTCTGCCTCAACTCCCGCCTCCTTCTGCGTCGACCTATCAGATGGCTGTTGCTGCCTCTATGATTACAGTGACGGCAAGTGCAGTCAAAGGTGACACCGGCATCCTCCACGGTAAGTAATTAAAACGTTTTTGAGTTTTCCATTGAAAACCTGCTGGCTGTTTCAAAGTGAACTAACTGCAAAAGCGTGCAGCATGAAGTTTTCACTGACTCGCGGTTATTGACTTGTATTTAGCCTCTACAATAACGAAGCACAGTGTGATGGCTGTAATAAAAACAGTGACATATCCAGCAAAACAAACAAACAAGCAAATAAACAAGTAAACAAACAGCTGACATATAGCCTGACAAGTGTTGATGTGTCTAAGAATATATTTTTCTTGTATTTTACGTTGCAAAGCCCTTCATAAGGTCATAAAATGATAATGTACTGTTTAAATTCATACACTTAGTAGCTTGTTGTTTGGAGTTTGGCCCAGTCATGTAGGAAATAGGCCAGCTCCTAGGCAAAAAAAGTGGCATGAACTCTATCACAAGGTATATCTTTCATCATAGTGTAGTGGTATGAGGCACCATGGCCTCAAGCTCTTAGCCAATCATGGTGCAGACAGAGGGTATAAAAGTAGGCTGCGTTCCTCCCCCTGACCTCTCGCTTCCTGCCTCTTCGGCCCGCCCACTTCCGGGTCATCGCCCATACTGCTCACCTCGGAGCACGGGTAGGCTCACATTGGCATGTGATTTGTGCACCCTCGTCTGGGTTTTATTTAATCTAAATCGTCGTTGATTGCTAGATCTGGCATTTGGCGTCTGGGGACGAGACTGTCGGGCGCGTTCACCGCTGTCATCCAAGCCTAGGTGAGTCATGGAGAGCTACCTTTGTTTGTTGTTGTTAGCCAGGTGCTAAGCCCTTTTCCGCTTCTCCCCTCATATTTGGCTGTCTCATAGTGCAGCGCGTCCGCCTGCGGTGCAGCTTTTCTTCACCCCTCTCCCTCTTGGACGGGACTAAAACTCCCGGCGGATGAACCGGACCTTGCAGACCCTGGAAGCTAAGTACGATTATGGCTGGCTAGCCCCGGCTACCTGGATACTGCCGCTGTGCTGCTGCTGTTGCATCGCTGCCGCTTTGCTGCCGTTATTAAACGCCTCCGCTGTTTGCCGGCCTGCTTCGGGGTGCGATCTGCTGCCTCGCGCCGACTCCCCTTTATTGACTTCGTCCCCTAGCAGCCGTGCGGGGTGCAGAGCGAGTGAGTTACCCGGGTGGACGCGGCTGCGAGTCCCCGGTTCGGACTGTGTGTGAGGATGTGTGTTTGACTTTTTAAAGGCACTCTGTGAAGGTCGCTCATTCATTTCGTTTTGTTCTTTTTGGGTAATTTCTTGGTTTGGTTGTTTTATTTATTTGTTTTGTTTAAGTGATTTGTTTATTTTTTTGGCAACGTACTTATTATACTTTAATGAGTAATGTTTTAGTTGGAGATCCTTTTTGTTAGTGCTTTGAATGAAGTAATTTTTGGTTTTCTGAGTTTATCTCTGGCCAGAGAGTCGTAATTTGTTTCCTTTGGTTGATTTCTGATTCATTTTGAACATTATTACCCAGTTAAATTGATTAGTTATTGATTTGGTTATGTTTTGGTGTGTTTTCTTTATGAGTCCCTTGCCCTAATTGTGTTTCTTTTCCCCCTACAGAGCTGACGGCCAACGGTGGTGGTGGTGGTCCTCTAAGGTGGTGGTGATCCCTGAGTGTGTGCGTTTTATTTGACTCCCCGTTTGAAGATTTATTTGTGTGCACCTTATGTTTGTTGTGAGTGGGGTGTTCTCTTTTCTTTGGACGTCACCAGTTTTGACCCCTCCTCTAGCCCGTACGCCTCAGCCTGTATCCCTGTTTCAGTTGGGCTCTGTTATTATCATATTTTGCGTCTTATTAATTATGTTGACCTTTTATCAATAAATTTTGTACGTTGATTATTGATTCTCGTCTCCTGCCTCCCTGGTTGAACGAACCTGAGTGCCTTAGAGAACTAGGTAATTGACCTTTAGATACGGGTCCTTGGGCCCCCTCCCAAGGTGGCGTTGTTGGACAACAAAGTTCGGGTGGTACCCAAACTGATAATATATAGCTCGTGCCGCCACAAACCTGGCGTTGTCGGCAGGATCAACTCAGTGGAGGTGGAGACGTGCGTCCTATGTTTAATCATTTTAGTTTTTTTGGTTTTCAGATTGCCAAGTGTGTGTGTGAGTGTGAATGTGAATGAACGGCAGCTTCAGGCGAGCCAGCAGAGACGGTGTTTATTTTTTTTTGGGTAGCGTTAACATTTACAGCCTAGTGTAGCTTTCAGAAATGGAGGGAGAGTTGCAAGAGTTGAGAGACTTGGTGGCACAGCTGCGGGCAGAGAATGACAGGTTACAGCAGGAGCAGGCTGCACCCGTGCCTGGTCCTAGTGCTGCACCATCCATTCCTGCTGAACCTCGTCCAGCACCATCCTCTTCTGTCGCTCCTGTAACAGAGCGACTGGTCCTCGTGCCCAGAGACAGGAAGTGTCCTGTGTTTAGGGGTAGGTCAGGTATAGGACTAGAGGAGTGGATCGAGGAAACTCAGGCCTGCATTAGATCCCGCCACCTGTCCAACGCTGATCAAGCATTTTTTCTTTTTGACCATCTAGAGGGAGAGGCGCGTGAAGAAATAAAATATCGTCCGGCCACAGATCGAAGTGATCCAGCTAAAATCCTTGCGGTCTTGCGAGAACTATATGGCTGTGCTGATTCGTATGTTGCTCTACAGGAGGCGTTCTTCTCGAGGCGACAGAAGGAAGGGGAGACTCTTCACGAGTTTTCCCTCGCCCTGATGAGCTTGATGTCAGCGGTGAAACAAAGTGCTCCAAGCGAGATGCCAAATGCAGATGTTTTGTTGCGTGATCAATTTATTGAAAACGTTATTGACGGTTCCCTTCGCCGAGAGTTAAAGCAACTCACACGCAGGCAGCCTACCATCTCCCTGTTAGATGTTAGGGCAGAGGCCATTAGGTGGGAGCGAGAGGGATTACCAGGGGGTGTGCGGGGCCGAAGCCACTCTGTTCCTTCGTTGATGGGCTTGCAGTGCGGTGTTCAGACTGCTCCTTTTGTGGCTAGTCCACCCCAGGCTTCAGAGTTGCAGGAGGTGAAACATATGCTGAGGCTCCAACAGGAACAGCTTAGCCGTCTCACCGAAAGTCTCGCTCAGCTGCAGACCAATCAGCTGCGTAACAATTCTTCTCACCATGGTCCGGTGATTTGCCGGCGGTGTCATCAGCCTGGCCATTTTGCCAGGGAATGCAGAGGGGAGCGTGCGCCTCCTCCACCTTCAGGGTCTGCTTCCTTCCGGCCAGCCTTTCGGCGGGACCCGGCTCAGCGTTTGGAAAACTAGCGCCCGTCGAACTGCGGAGCCAAAGTTCGGGGGGAGCTGCCACCGGCTCACCAGAAGAGATGGTAATGGATGGGGAAGAGACTAAGTTGATCAGCGCTTGTCCACATATGGACGTGGTTATGGGGGGTGTAACCGTGCCTTGCCTCGTAGACACCGGGTCCATGGTGTCCACTATTAGAGAGAGCTTTTTTCGGCAACACTTTGAAATTTGGGGCCAAGAAAAACTTAAGTCCTGCCATTGGCTCCAGCTTCAAGCGGCCAATGGGTTACCCATCCCATATCTTGGCTATTTAGAGCTGGAAGTCGAGCTCTGTGGTCGGACTTTGCCAGGATGTGGGCTGCTGGTCGTCAAGGACCCCCCAACTGCTGCGTCTCCTCCTGCCCCGGGTGTCTTGGGGATGAACATCCTGAAAAGGTGTTACAGCACCCTATTTGGGCAACATGGTGCTGCCCTTTTCAACTTGCCCACCGTCGCTGAAGCACCAAAGCCTGTGGTGCAGGCATTGCAGAGATGCCATCAAGCTTCTCTGACCTCCCCTTCTGCCATTAGTGGCAAGGTCAAGCTGCGAGGAAAGAAAGCGTGTCGTATCGCCGGTGGCACTATGCAGCTGGTTCCAGCCACCTGTTCTGCCCAGTACTCGGGGAGAACTGTGCTGTTCGAGCCCTCAGATCAGGGCCTTTCTGCTGGCCTGCTGGCATCCCCAGCACTGGTTCAAGTGGAGGGAGGTACTGTGTACATACCTGTGGTCAACGTGGGTATGTCTGATGTGTTGCTTTACCCCAGAACAACGGTTGGTGCTTTGTGTGAGGTTTCCGTGGTGAGCCTACCTTCTGGGGTGAAGGAGGTTCCATCCTACATGGCCACGGTGGCATCTCAGGCTGTGGTTTCTACGCTGCAAAATCAAATCGATGCAGTGGATCTGTCTGCTTTGTCACTTGAAGAGCAGCAGGAAGCCAGACTTCTGCTCTGGAAATATGCGTCTGTCTTCTCCTCTCACGACAGTGACTTAGGCTGCACTGACCTGATTACACATGAAATCCCGCTTCTTGACGACACTCCCATCCGTCAGCGCTACCGGCGTATCCCGCCATCAGAATACGAAACGGTGAAAGAACACATCAATCAGTTGCTTGGTGCGCAGGTCATCTGAGACAGCTGCAGCCCTTTTGCGTCCCCAATTGTATTGATTAAAAAGAAAGATGGAAGTCTGCGCTTGTGCGTCGACTACCGACAGCTGAACAGCCGGACGAGAAAGGACGCGTTCCCTCTCCCGCGAATTGAGGAATCGCTGGATGCACTCACTGGAGCCCGCTGGTTTTCCACTATGGATTTAGCCAGCGGCTACAATCAGGTCCCGGTGGCAGAGGCCGACCGACCCAAGACCGCTTTTTGTACTCCGTTCGGACTCTTTGAATGGAATCGTATGCCGTTCGGGTTGTGTAACGCACCTAGCACCTTCCAGCGACTCATGCAACGGATTTTCGGAGACCAGCAATGTCAGTCGTTGCTCTTGTATCTTGATGACATTGTGGTCTTTTCCTCCACAGTTCAACAACATTTTCAGAGATTGGAAGTGGTGCTGCAGCGGCTACAACATGAAGGTCTGAAAGCGAAGTCGTCAAAGTGCTCATTCTTCCAACAGCAAGTGCTGTACTTGGGCCACATCATTTCGGCTGAAGGAGTTTCCACCGACCCGAGTAAGGTCGAAGTGGTAGCCAATTGGCAGCCTCCCACCACCATCTTGCAGCTGCGGTCATTCCTTGGGTTCACAAGCTACTATCGGCATTGCGTGGAGGGCTTTGCCAAGTTGGCTGCCCCTTTACATCGCCTTGTCGGGGAACTCGGAGCGTCCAAGCTCCGACGGTCTGGACAGCAAGTGGCGGAAAAGTGGACGGGTGAACATCAGCGGAACTTTGAATCTTTAAAATCTAAGCTTACTACGGCACCTGTGTTGGCCTACGCTGACTTTTCCCTTCCTTTCATTTTGGAAGTGGATGCGAGCCATGGGGGCCTTGGCGCTGTGCTCTCGCAGGAGCAGGGAGGGAAGGTCCGGCCTATCGCATTTGCTAGCCGAAGTCTGAGGCCCACCGAACGTAACCCCGCCAATTACAGCTCCATGAAGCTGGAGTTTTTGGCACTAAAGTGGGCTATGGCTGACAAATTCCCTGAGTACTTGCTTGGTCACAAGTGCATTGTCTTCACAGACAATAATCCACTTAGCCACCTGTCATCGGCTAAACTTGGTGCTCTTGAACAGCGTTGGGTAGCCCAACTCGCGTCATTCGACTTTGAAATTCGTTACCGCTCTGGTAAGAGTAACATCAATGCAGATGCTCTGTCCCGCTTGCATTCACCTCAACCGGTAGATCTTGGCACGATCATCTCTGGTACGCAGCTCCCCCAGCCCTTGAAGCAAGCTCTCCAACCAAAAAGGCCTGCAGCCTGTCAGGCTGCTGTCCATGCTTTGCCTCAACATCTGCCTGCAGACATTGGAGACCTGCAGAGAGCTGATCCTGTGATCCAGGAAGTCCTTTCGTTCTGGCAGCAGAAACGTTATCCAAATCAAGCGGAACGTAGACGGCTGTCCCCCACAGCTCTGGTGCTCCTCAAGCAGTGGGGGCGATTGAGTGAGCAGGCCGGAGTTGTGTACCGGCAAGTCTCTTGTGCAGACAAAGGAGAAGTGACTCTCCAGGTGCTGCTGCCCGAGGTGCTGAAGGAAAAAGTCCTTACCGAGCTGCACCAAAATCATGGCCACCAGGGGGTGGGCAGGACTCTGGATTTGCTTAGGCAGCGGTGCTATTGGTCGGGGATGTCAGCAGATGTGCGGCGCTGGTGTCAAAGTTGTGAGCGATGCCAAGTGGCTAAGGACCCTGGACCACCAGTCCGTAGCTTTATGGGACATCTGCTTGCTTCGGAACCTAACAAGATCCTGGCGATGGATTTCACTGTCCTCGAACCAACCCATAACGGGCTGGAGAATGTCCTTGTGCTGACGGATGTCTTCAGTAAATACACTCTTGCTATTCCCACCCGTGACCAGCGTGCCTCTACAGTGGCACAGGTGCTTGTCACAGAGTGGTTTTCCAAGTTTGGCGTTCCAGCACGCATTCATTCCGATCAGGGTCGCAATTTCGAAAGTGTACTCATCCAGCAGCTGTGTGGTTTGTACAACATTGAAAACTCTCGCACCACACCATACCACCCTGCAGGTAATGGTCAGTGCGAGCGTTTCAATCGCACCCTCCATGATTTGTTGCGCACTTTGCCTCCCTCTCGCAGCAAGCTACGTACGATTATGGCTGGCTAGCCCCGGCTACCTGGATACTGCCGCTGTGCTGCTGCTGTTGCATCGCTGCCGCTTTGCTGCCGTTATTAAACGCCTCCGCTGTTTGCCGGCCTGCTTCGGGGTGCGATCGGCTGCCTCGCGCCGACTCCCCTTTATTGACTTCGTCCCCTAGCAGCCGTGCGGGGTGCAGAGCGAGTGTGTTACCCGGGTGGACGCGGCTGCGAGTCCCCGGTTCGGACTGTGTGTAAGGATGTGTGTTTGACTTTTTAAAGGCACTCTGTGAAGGTCGCTCATTCATTTCGTTTTGTTCTTTTTGGGTAATTTCTTGGTTTGGTTGTTTTATTTATTTGTTTTGTTTAAGTGATTTGTTTATTTTTTTGGCAACGTACTTATTATACTTTAATGAGTAATGTTTTAGTTGGAGATCCTTTTTGTTAGTGCTTTGAATGAAGTAATTTTTGGTTTTCTGAGTTTATCTCTGGCCAGAGAGTCGTAATTTGTTTCCTTTGGTTGATTTCTGATTCATTTTGAACATTATTACCCAGTTAAATTGATTAGTTATTGATTTGGTTATGTTTTGGTGTGTTTTCTTTATGAGTCCCTTGCCCTAATTGTGTTTCTTTTCCCCCTACAGAGCTGACGGCCAACGGTGGTGGTGGTGGTCCTCCAAGGTGGTGGTGATCCCTGAGTGTGTGCGTTTTATTTGACTCCCCGTTTGAAGATTTATTTGTGTGCACCTTATGTTTGTTGTGAGTGGGGTGTTCTCTTTTCTTTGGACGTCACCAGTTTTGACCCCTCCTCTAGCCCGTACGCCTCAGCCTGTATCCCTGTTTCAGTTGGGCTCTGTTATTATCATATTTTGCGTCTTATTAATTATGTTGACCTTTTATCAATAAATTTTGTACGTTGATTATTGATTCTCGTCTCCTGCCTCCCTGGTTGAACGAACCTGAGTGCCTTAGAGAACTAGGTAATTGACCTTTAGATACGGGTCCTTGGGCCCCCTCCCAAGGTGGCGTTGTTGGACAACAAAGTTCGGGTGGTACCCAAACTGATAATATATAGCTCGTGCCGCCACAATAGGTCAGTATCACAATGAAGTAATGTATGTATCCTGGTATATCATAAATGTGTTTTGTTACAGATTGAAAAGTGTCCACTCCAAAATCGGGGTCAGATGTCTTTGTTGGTGTGGCACAGGTCTGCTCGTGTGGGTTTCACAGTCAAACGGTAAACTGGAATGGTTGAATGATTCACCACAAGATTGTATGTAATAGTAGAGTTCATTAAATTAAGGAATGAAACAAGTAAAAATGAATCTGTTACTACAGCTGAAGAGACAGGTAAAACTGTTTGACAAGTGGTTGTCATGTAGTAATACATTTACAAATTAAACAAAGCTCACAAACATCTTTAACTAAATTATGAGAATTCTTTTTCTTGTTTCTTCAGACACATCCAGAACAGACAGTTAGATCTGCCACCTCATCAGTCCCTGCATCAACTGTGGCTGGCTCCTCTGCAGTTCCTCACAGAGTTGCTGCACCCTTGGAGGTTGCTGTGCAGCGACCCAAACTCACCCTTCAAATGGTACTCAAGAAGCACAGCTTTATTTAAAATCTAATTGGAATCTAATACATTAAAGTATGCAGAAAGAGGATTAATCTTTTACTGACATTTAATCCTTCAGTTTGAGAAGTTATCAGGTATGATAAAAAAAATTGGATTGATAAATCTTGTCGTAAATTTTCATAGTTGTTTAGAACTTCTCAACTAGTATCTGTTATTGATATGGGTTGTTTCTATTTCTTTGAATCTTATTTCAAGTTACCCTGTGAGGTTTTTTTCTCCTCTGTGTGTGTTCTCCCTCTCTCTGCAGCGCTGGAGGCACGGCGGGAGGCGGGGCTGGCCCGGACTGATTGTACGCACCTGATTCTCGTTGGTGTCACTTACCTGGCTTTATATGCCAGCTCCTCTGTTGCTTCAGTGCTGGATGATTTCTCAGTCATGCAACACGTGTCTTACCACGCCGAGCTCCCTGATTTCCCACCCGTGTATCCAGCCTGCCTCTCAGTGTTTCTTGTGAGTTCTTTTGTTACTTTCCAGAGAATTTTTCCCTTGAGCAAAGGTGATTTTGTGTTAGCATTTTTTTTCCTCTAGTTGAGAAGATTTTTTGTTTTTCTATTTCTGTTGCACTTTGTCTTTTACATCCTGAGTTGTTACTTGCCCCATGTGGCACTATTATTTGAACTTTTGTTTTTCACCAGCGATTTGCCTTGCTGCAGTGACTTTTTTTCTAACTCTGGTTTTGTTTTTCGTGGCAGTCCGAGCTGACCGTGCCTTTTCCCAGAAACTGAGATTTTCTGTTGTTCACTTTGTTTTGTTGTTTATTGTCAAATTTGGGCATTTGCCTCTGCATTTGTTGATCCTGGCCTTTGTTCGATTCCTAACATACCCTTTACTTTATATTATTGTTTGGAAGGAAACTTTGTTGTAATAGATAAAAGTGTGTTATTTTTCATCCAACATTTGACTTTTATTACAATCATACTTGTATAGTTCCTAACTGCAAACAAATTTTCTTCTAGATTCCATCAAGCACTGCTACAGCCTCATCTGAGAATGTCTCAATGGCCTCTCCAGCAAGCCCCCCTATTCCTGGACCTCCAACGGCCACTTTCACTCCCCAGGTCCCTCTTCCATTTCCCAAGAGGTTTATCCAAACCACCTCTCCATTCTCTCTCCCACCTTCTGCTTCTGCCTCTGTGAAGACCACTAAGCCCATCATGAACAGCCCTCCACAATCTACTGACCCTGCAAGTGTTTTTATTCAAGCTTTAATATTTCAATTGTCTTGTCTTGGCTTGTAAATTTGTTGTGAAACATTATTGTCTATATTTCTCTGCCTTCATCAGGATGGATCTACTTCAGTGGCCCCAGTGTTTTCAGTGCCTTTAGCTGCTGCACCTGGATCCAGTCCACTGTGGTTGCCTGAAAGACTAAAGAAGACCCTCCTCATTCAGTATCAAAATTGGATTTCATTAGCATTGTGGAGAAACCAGCGTCTCCGTGAGGACCTCAAACTGTGGTATGAACCACCCACTCCCTCTCTGATCTACTACCAGATACCCACTCCAGAGCGCTTCTTCTGGTGTGGATGCCTTATCACCTCTGGAAGATAAGAGTCTTTTGCCTCAAATGTGGTGGGCATCTTACAGGTGGTGGTGTCCACAAGAGAGCACGCCAGGTGTTGGACATTGGCAGGTACTACTTCATGGATCAACTATGTGTTGTGTTATCACTTTTTATAGTGTTGGCTGATTCTTGTTTTTACTCAAAAATAAAAGAAACCGTGAAACTGTTTTTATATTCATAACTTGAAGTCAGTGAATTCTGTGAGTCTATAAACAAGTGGTGTGTGTGTATATATATATATATAGGGGAGATCTCTGGTTTGAATAACCAGCAGGTTGTAATTTAAAAAAAAAAAAAGTAAGGCCATGAAAGCCTTTCCATGATAACGTATGTATCTGAAACAGTGAGGTCAAGTTTACATTGTTTGCAGTCGTGAAATTAAAAGCTGAGGGTCAACTTTATTTAAAGGAAAAATTAAGTCTTAGAAGCACATCAAACCCAGCAAAAATAAGTTCACAAAAAGTACTGACAGCATTGAAACTGCTGTTTACTGATGTTGTGAAGATAAGACTCATTTGTGTACCTAAAAACCCTGAGGAGTTTTTGGAATAAGTGGGAATCGAACCTCCAACTTCTTGATCCACATGTATCTTCCCTCATAACATGAAAACACTAAATTTTGCTGAAAATGCACAAATATCATTGTTAAACAACTCATTGACCTCACAGACGGCATATTTATTTAGGCATTTTGTTCATTCTTTTTCCTTTCTTTTTTTTTCCATATTTTTTCTTCCTTTTCTCCTCTTTTCTCTTCTTCCCACTTCTTCCCCTTTTTTCCCCTTCTTCCCCCCCCTTGAGCAGGCTGTTCCCCAGCCCTGGCGCAGGAGGTAGAGCGGTCGGCCAATAACTGGAAGGTTGACTGTTCGAGCCCCGTCCTATCCCTAGTCTGTCCGTTGTGTCCATGGGCAAGACACTTAACCCACCTTGCTCCCAGTGTGTGTGTGTCCTCCACTGGTGTATGAATGTGAGTGTTGTGTGGTGGTGGTCGGAGAGGCCGTAGGCGCAAACTGGCAGCCACGTCTCCGTCAGTCTGCCCCAGGGCAGCTGTGAATACTAAAGTAGTTTACCACCACCAAGGTGTGACTGTGTGAGCGAATGAATGATGTATCCGATGTAAAGCGCTTTGAGGTCACTGACAAAAAGTGCTATAAAAATCTGATTCATTATTATTAGATTGACTATCTATCATTGAGGATGGATGTTTAACCCCTGAGGCAACTACAGGATAAATGTGTCATTTAAACTGCAGTATTTGACTCTTTGACTGCAGTTATCCTTCAGTGATAGAGATTTATTCTCAGTCTGCTGCAGAAAAAAATAATCCAAACAAGTGCTGCAAATTCCTGTCACTACTGTGAATAGAGGAGGAAACCAGAAACTGACAGGACAATTCATACAGACAGTGAGAGGTGACATAAGGGGAGATTCTACTTGCATGAGAGCATCCTGCAGATTAGATCACCTGGATCAACAAAACACCAAACTTAAGATACAGCTAGGACTTTTGTTTAACACCCAGTTATCTTTGATTTCACCCCCTGACTTTAGAAAAGATGAGGATTACAGGACACTTATAAGTTCAAAGTTATTTTATCCTCAAAATAGACTTCTCAGACTTTTTTCCTCAAAATTCAGAGTTTAAATTTTAAATTCTGACTTTTCAATTTTGAGGTTAAAGTCTGAATTTGGACTTTTTTTCGTGCCTTTTTTTTCTTTTTTCTCAAAGTTACGACTTTAACTTCAGATTTATGATTTGAAAGTTCCCTGTATTATCATATTTCTGTGGCCCCTCATTCTCTTTGGTACACTTGTCCCTAAAGTGAGAATCCCTGAAGTCACTTTTCCATCGCAGTTACTCCAATATTATGTTTTCTACTTGCCTGTATGTAGAATAGCTGCTCCACTCAGATTGGTTAAAACCCATTCTTTATTTCACATTAGACACCTGGTCACACATATCAACTCAACTGTTGGAGGAGGCTCTGGCACATTTCACCCATAGACTGTATGTACTATGGACAACATAGCTCCGCCTTCTGTCATCATATGAATTTGAAGCCAAAAAGCTCTCTGTATTTCCAGGATTTTCTTCACTTCCTGGAACCACCACATGCACAGTAGCATTGTACGCATTCGGCGGGAGAGTCGCTGTGATGACACTCGGCTCAAACAGCATATCCCCCGAGTGAGCTACACAATCTTCGTACGCCCATAGGCTGTATCAAGTGTCAAACATAGAAAATGTGAACCCCCTAATATTAAAAAAAATTTAAAAAAAAGAGCTGTACAGAAAAAAGAGGACTTGAGCACAAACCAGTCTTACAGTAACTGGCTGCAGCAACCTGGGGGGTGAGGTGCTGAACTGCAGATCTGCTGAGGAAAATGATGCCTTGAAGGGTCTGTCTGCTCTGAAAACACACCCAGAGACAGGCCCAGGTAGTTAAAGTGAAGTTACTGCCCTGGCCGCCTCAGGGCTCCACCCTGTGTTGTTGTGTCAGGAAGTACACCTGCTGTATCTGTATTTGTATCTCCTGGTAGCTGTTGACGGTCCCTGCAGTGCAGTGGTGTAAGGATCGTTGTGTTTGCATCATCAGAGTGTAAAACAGGATCTCAGTGCCTGAGCGCTGTATTGATCTTAACATTGTACACTGAGATCTCTGTAACACCTTGGCATCCTCTCTGTCACTTATTTTTTAAAGCTCTCTCATTAAAGCAGAGAGAATGTTTGTGAGGCTGCAGAGCTTGTCAATCTGAGCTGATAAATGCTCAACAAAGAGCCTAGCTGACGGAGACACTGGTGTCAGACATTCAACAGTAAGACAGTAATTCAAACTCTGATCTACACAAAGGTGGCACTCCTGTGAACCTCTGACTAGGCTGAACTGACTTTATCAAGCCTCTTTCAAAAGAGGCCCAAGGGAAAATGAAGTGCTGAGGGACTGACCATGACAGATCTGGAGACCTAAGAATCAAGAACAGGAAACAAGGTCAGACAAAGTCATGAAATATTCACAAGAAATGATTTGACTGTAAAAATTCAGGACGAGAGATTTCTGCTTCAACAGAAATATGACCAGATGAACAAATACTGCTTTGACCGCAGGGGGGCACCAATATTGACACAGAAGTGACAGGAGCTTTAAAGGTGCAGTGCACTAAGTTTACAAAGAGTGAAAAGATAATAGCTGTCTAAGGAGGTCCAAGAGAGAGATAAATGAACTCCACATGAAGCCAGAACTCAGGAGTCTGGATGTTAACATATTCAATTTAGTGGAGATACAGGTACAGCTTAATTAAGGGATTTAATTGGACGGCCATTATTTCATACAGGGACCAGGTGAGAAGTCCTCATGATTAATTCCACTGACCTGAATCCTAACCATTTCCACTGAGACCTTTAATTTACTAAACCATCAGAGGCATTGATTTGGTTGATTGTGTTAAAACTGTTAAAACCTGTTGAGGGTCTGGCAGTCTGTCCTCCTCCTGCTGCAGCAAAGGGGATCGATGTGATCCAAGCCTAGTTACAGATTTAATCCTAATACATAGGCCTTCAGCTGTCTAACCTGTCTCAGTCAGTCTGTGATCTGTCTTACCGAATCAGAGTAAGTCTGATCCTCCTCCTGTTTCAGGTGATCTACTTCAGTGTAGATGATCCAGGTGATTTTTCAGTATTGCTGCGTAACAGGAACATGTAAAACCTCAAAGTTTCCTCCTAACGCTCATTATCAGCTCACATGTCCTCTACGTTTGTCGTTTTTTAAATTCCTGAACTTTTTCCAACTTTAAAAGTTTTACTTTTACTTTCTTCTTGGCCATCTGCTCCTCTGTGTTTTGTCAGGGGATGAGGACAGGCGGCCATGTTGGCACAGGTCTGTTTCATGGTAATGAATTTGGCCTGCTTCCCCTGGTCAGCGTCCAGGAGAGAACAAGAGTACCTGCTGAGGCCTGAGGCTAAAGTCTACACAGACTCAGAAAATCCCTGTCTGACAGACCCACTGCTCCAAACCTCATTTATCTTTCAGTTCATTAATCTACCAGCATTTTACACAGGGATGTATGGAAACGAACAGCTCTGACCCACTTTATTATACACCCATTAACACCATCCATGTTAATCCATCCATGGCAGAGATGTGGAGTTTGAGACTTGGACCCCAACTCCACCATCAGAAACTTTAGACTTGATTTAAACTTTGGGACGTCTTATTCCATATTTTGTGAGTAAACATCGTCCCCTCTTATCCTTTACCATCTTCTGCTCCTGTTGCGTCCTCACCTGCTGCTGCAACTGCACAATGCTTCTTACACATTATTATAACTAAGAAGGCAAAACCAGCATAAGCAGAGACAGTCGTTTTTCATCCATGTCAAAACACTATCCCTGATCAATAAGGGAGTGATCACCACGCGCTCCTTTTCCTTGCCTATGTTGCATATATTTGCTCTAAACATTGATTGACAGGATCAGAGACTTGCCTTGGACTTGAAAAAAGTGACTTGAGTCTGATCCACAGATTAGATCCTGAAATACTGCATCTCATCTCTTCTCGGATGTTCTGGTGTTGTGATTATTGCTCAGTGCGTTTACTCTAAACCTAAACCACAGTACAGGTGCACAGACAGTATATATCCATATGGACTCGGAGCCTATTTTTTAAAAGCAGTCAGACTCTGAGTGACTCGTCTAACTGAGAAAGACTTGTGCTCTGGTCTCTGTCAGTCATTGTGAAGCTGGGCGGAGACGTTCCCATTAGAAACAGTCAGATTACATGTTTGTGATTCCTGCTAATTAAACATGATTAGTCTCACTGCTGCAGACTCTGTCTCTGTTTCAAGGCATCCTGCAGCAGTGTGTCATCTCTCTAATAAACCCTCACATCTCTTTAAAACACTTTCTGCTCCACTAACGCTGACAAAGAGACCCCTGACAGTGACTTTCTCTGAGTTTGTGGACTCGCTGCTGCTGTTGAAATTACCTGCTGATGAGGACAGACCTTCAGCAGCCTCCAATTATCTTTTTCCTTAACACTCTGACTTAACAGAGACATCATCACAGTGACAGTTATCCGAGCACAGCCAGAGGATAGATAATTCCTACAGAGGAAGAGCCCACAAGAGATCAGAGGTTAGATGTCAGATGTTGCCTATCACCCTT